CTGTTTGTGTGCCCATGCGCTGGGTTTGGCTTGCCTTTCCTGTTGTAAAGAGTAAAGGGTGTGGTTTCTGTCTCAGGTCTGTATTCACTCCAGCTGCTCCTATGGTTCGTACCCCTCTGTGGGCCCTAAGCCACTGCGATCCCCATCTTGCTTTATGGCCTGCAGGCTTGTGAGGCCCCCACCTTGCTCCCCAGGACTCTCTGGTGCATCCCAGGACATGGTTCACATCCAAGCAGAGGCAAGTTTCTGATCACATTGGCAAATAGAAAAAGCAAACAACCTCCAAGTTCTATGCTGGACTCAGGCAGCAAGGGAGCTGGGATCAAGCAGTTCACTGAAATTAAGGCCAGCACTGTTACCCTCACTGTTAGCCCTTTGAAAGCTGACCTCATGGACACTAAAGTATTTTATAAGCAAAAACTCAAAAACCAAATAGTCAAAATGTTAGAAGAGCTGGGGATATAGCTCAGTGGCACATATTAGGACTGGCTTCTCACCATAAAGGTGAGACCACTGTGTCCTTCCCAGCCTGAGCTCCCTGCATAAGCTTCTCAGGGGTGCCTGTCCCCTCTTCAAGGCTGTCTCCCACCCAGTTGCTATGGAACGGTGACCCCAGAAATCTTCAAGTGTACTTGCTGTGAATTCTGGTTCCTGGAGTAGTGAAGTCTTAAATCTTTCACAAAATGACTCCTGATATCATGCCCAATGCAGCAGGCACTACAGCAAATTTCTTCTCTAAATCTAGCTTGTCATGTGAAAGGAGTCACTTTCAAAGTAGCACTCCACACTGCATTTGCAGATTACAATAACTGTGGACTTTTCTTGGAGCTAGAGCTGCCAGTCTGCTGTTTCATCCTGGGGCTGCTGACTCTGTGCTCAACTGTGTCAGCAGAGACATGGTTCTCCTGGGAGCTGGGTGAATATTCCAGACTGCTCTGTTCTAGTCTGTCCTCATCTTACCCCATTTCTCTGTGAGCTGTAGCTTCCTTGTCAACTCTTTCTTGATTTCCAGAGCTCTTTTTTCTTTTTACGAAGTCACTGATTTCCAGGTGCCCGGATTCCAATTCCTGGAGAGGCTATGACATGCTACCTGCCTTTTCTCCAATTTTTTAAAATTCCCCCTGTATTATTTCTCAAAAAGCATATGTTGAATCCTCCTTGTATCCGTAGGATGGAATCAGCTTGATCATGGGCATGATCTTTGATGATTTAAAAGTTTGGTAAAACTCAGCAGCAAACACATCTTGTCCCAGGCTTTGCTTTGTTGGAAGACATTTTTATTAGTGTTTTAATCTCATTATTCAATATTGATCAGGTCAGGAAATTTATGCCTTCTTGCTTACTGTTAGTGGTCATTTGACTCAAGTAAGCTGTCTCTTTCTTTTAGATTTTCTAGTTGGTTAGCATAAGTTTCCTTCACAATAGTCTCTAATAATGGCCGGGGATATAGCTCAGCAGCACAGCACCTGCCTGGTAAGCCTCATGAGTTTCATTCCTGGTACAAAAAAAAAAAAATCTTTAATGATCTTTTATATTTTTATGTTATTAGTTGTAATGTCTTTTCTCACTCTTTGAGTATTTTCCCTGATATTTTGATTAGTTTCATTAAATATTGGTAGATAGTTTTTTAAGAACCAACTCTGCCTCATTGACCTTTACTATTAGTTTTCGTCTTGTTTTGTTTGGTTTCCTACTTCATTTGTTTTGGCGCTTGTTTCCTAATTTGCTAATTTCATTTGGTTTGTTTTTACTTTTCTATGTCCTTGACTTAAATCATGTTTATTTGAAAACTATTTTATTGATGTTGACATTTACTGTTTTAAACCTTCCTCTTAGTGCTGCTTTTTCTATGGCCCACAAGTTGTGATTTGTTGTATTTCCATTTTCATTTGTTTCAACAAATTTTTAAATTTCCCTCAGACTTACTCAATGCCTATTGTCTGTTCACAAGTGTACCCAGTCTCTATGTATTTATATAATTTTGAAAATTCTTTGTTGTTAATGTCCTGTTTTATTTGTGATCAGAAAAACTACAGGATTTTAAATTTTTTTAATTTGTTAAGTGACCTAATTCAGTGGTATTTTGGTTCATAAATGCTTTTGCTTATGAAGTTTGTTTTGCAAACAGAAGCATTTGGCAAAGTTTTTTGTTTGTTTGCAAACTCTGCATTGGGCGACAAACACAGCCATGGCCATCTTTCCCACATGGACATGAATGTGGCCATCTTTTCCAGAATCATGGAAGGAGTGTCTGTGAACTGAGATACCACTGTATACCTAGCGTGCTCTAGAGTAAACTCAGTGTGCTAAAAAAATCTGCTGGATGGAACATTGTATATGTATCCGTTAAGTCCATTTGCTTTGTGGTATACTTTCTGGTGTTTGATTTTTAAAAAAATTATGACTAGGATATTTTAAAAGACCTGTTTTTCAAGGTCAGACATTTTCTTCTGCTTGACCTGTTTGTTATTGAAGTTTTTAACTGTTTTGTGAGCTCATTTCCAAGATATCTTTTTGGTTCTTTTTCAAAATAACTCTTTGCTGAGTTTCTTGTTCACACATTTTCCTAATTTCATTGACTTATTTATGTGTTCTCTTCAGTGAACCTTTTTATAACAATTTTAAATGGTTTACCAAACTTTTCATCCACATCAATTCTTTAGGCTGTTGCTAGCATTACATTGACTGTGGAACTGCTTGTTAGGTGATGGAAACCAGTTGAAAGGAGGGGATTGTGGGGGTGTAATCTCGGGGACTATATTTGTTCTCTTGGACCTGCCACTCTGGGTCTTTCCGTTTCTTTCTTCCTGGTTGTCATGAGGTGAGCAGCTTTCCTCCATCAAGCCCTTCATTATGCTGTTTCTGCCTTGCCATAGGCCTAAAGGAAATAGAGGTAGCTAACCAGGGACTGAAACTTCTGAAACCATGAACCAAGATAAAAATTGCCTCTTTTAACCTGAAGGTGTTTTGATATAGGAATGGAAACTAACACGTGTTCTTTTTTTCAGATTTGTGTGTTTAGATCTGCATATCTGGCTATCTCTACCACTTCTGTGGAATGGCCTTAGTAAGCAGTTGCCCCTGAAGATGTTTTAGGGTGTTGGCTGATAAAGCTGTGTTGGCTCTACTTCCAAGAAGGCATGTTATAGTAGTCTCTGCTGCTTCTGACACTGTGATGAGCGACTTTGGGCACAATGCCAATGGTGATAAACCCAGAGACCCAGCATCTCTGCAGGCCACTCAATCAGGACTCTGGTAGTCCTAGCAGATATGGTACAGACAGCAGTGGCATGGGGAGTTCACATTCACAATGGAAATGATGGCCCCTGTCAGATGCATAGTTGGTGCTGACTGCTATGATGCTCTGCCTCCAGAACTTGCCTAGCAGCACCTGCAATGGTGAAGGCCTGTCTAATCAACGGTGTGAGCCCATGGTGGGGGAGCAGGGACCACCGTGTTCCTCACTGCTGCTGGGCCGGCAGTGACTATGCAGCATCGGACCCTCAGCTAGAGCTCTGCTTGCCCTGACCACAAATGCCCCAGGCAGGATATCAGCAGGAATAATGGTTTTCTCCCGCCTGTTATGGTTTAGGTTTAGAATGTCCCCCTTACGATATTGTGTTTGGAAGGTAACTGGATCTTTATAGGGGTGCTCTATTCATTAGGGGGTTAATCACACCACAATATTTTTCCATAATTTTCCACAGCAATATCAGTTTTAATCGCTGTAACTGGTGGTTTAGCTCAGTAAACTACCAAGACCAAGTTTTTCCATTGGTAATAAAACACAATTTACCAAAGAATTTTTGGACTGAATTTCAGATTCAGCAACAGGATGGCAGTATATGTTACTACAGGGGTCAAACAGTGTCAACCTATTCATGTGTGATTATTCCCACACTGGCTGTGGGCTGCAAATTCCAATTCATCAGGTCTGGGCTCAGACTATTTTTAGAGAGTGATCTAGCAATGTCAAGCCTCAACAAAAAAAAGGCTTCTCTGCCAGGCAGCACTCATCCACTCAACTCCCGCACATTATGTAAGACCAATCAGGTAATCCAATAGCCCAGGCTATACAGTCTACACACTGTACCAGGGAGGAGAAAGTTCAGACTTTACCTTCTCTTACCATTCTTTACAGCATGTATGAGAGATGCATCATGGGCCACAGTATTTTCTGTGTATTTTCCTGAGTATTTTCACAAAGGATCCAGTCAAATACTTCCTGAGTATTTTCACAAAGGTTCCAGTCAAATACTTCTCAGTAAGGGGCCTCGTCCAGTGCAGCAAATTTAACCATCAGTTATGATAATGATTACTAATTTCCATAAACCAGTCTTTTGAAAGTCAGAGCAGGTAAGAATGTTCAAAGGGGATACAATCAGTACATTAAATATACTGCAATCTGTGCATTAAAATGTGTTAAGTACTGTGAAAATCGCCACCAGTAAATCACACCCTCTGCCCACTCCTAACAAAATAACTTTGCTCATCTCAAGTGATGAGTTTTTCCTCCACCCCTTGGACTAAGACATCCCCAACAGAATATAGCAGAAATAACTTGATTGCATGTGACCTCAGATGCTAAGAAACTGTGATTCCTACCTGCATCTCTCAGAACACTCCAAGGCCAAGTCTGCATGCCCAGCTTTGAACACTCCATGAACACAGATCACAGTGGGAGAATTCTGGCCACTGAGTCCCAGACAGTGGACAAGGACGTCTGAGACCTGCTAGCTTCAGTCCTGGCACCTGAGGATTACTGGTATATAAATAAACTAAGACGAAAGCAGCAGAATTTTTTAGTACAGTCAACGGACAAAACCATAAGGAAGGGCAAATTGTCAGATGCCAGCTGTTTTGTTTGCAGTGCCTGGCATGGAACCCAGGGCCACAGGTGTGCAGATCAAGCACAGCCTGCGAGCTCCATCCTAGCCTGACCTTGCCTTGGGAGTGGTGTACTGCAGAGCAACACGACAGGATGAGAAAGTACCGAGAAAGCAGAGGAATAAGTCATTTATTCAAACAGAAAATAAGAAACTACATGATTGAAATTCTGAGAGCAGACACAATATTTAATGGTAAATAGCAAAACAAACTGTAAGATCTTGAGACTGATTCAACATTTAACTACTAAAAGTCACTAACCATGTTTAATTTTTTTTATTAAATTTTTTTAACATTTTTTTACATTCACAAAACTAATTACAATGCAGTTAAGATTGTGAGTCTCTGTACTATAACCTAATTTCATGTGTTCACAATAGAAACTGTTTTAGATCAACAATAAATTGCAATGTATTTTCCCCAGAAACAATCCATTGTCTCAGACCCTTGTGGTGAGCCTGGAGGGCATGGATTTGGGAAATGAGCATCTAGTCAAGTATTTTGTACTCTTCAGCAATTAGAAAATGTTAACATGCTCAAAGATGAACTCTACAGCAATATTTATAACATCTATGACTGTAAACAATATTAAAAACTACAGTAAAATTTGAATTATTATAGATTTGCATCGTTAAGGCTTAAACATTGCATAGTTATACATTCACCTAATTCTCATCACTGTTGCATTAGTGAAAGTTTAAAAGTACTCTACTTTCTATGGCAGAATAAATTTAGCAAGTGTGATTTTACTGATTTCTACATTTATTAAGTTTCCTCTAGGTCGACATTCTGTTCCTCCTTTCATGATCCTTTGCCGAGCGCCGAGTCCCTAAAGACGAGCAGTGTTCATCAGCTGCATCATGTCATGGAAAGCAACAAAAATCTGCTCAACGAGTTTTTTTGCATCAGTCTCCAGACAAGACTTCCAGGCTGAGCAGGCCACAATGAATCTGTGAAGCACAAGTCATGAGTGATTACACAGAGCCCCAACTGTGACGGCAGGCAGAGCTAGGAACTTCACTCCACCTCAGCTGTAGACCTTGGTGACAAGTGAGATCTGAGATTTTGCTGATGTTAGACACATGGAACAAGAGACCACTAGAAGACTAAGAGGGTATTTATAGATAATGTCATAGAATTACTGTCATTTCCTGGACAGTAGCCTGAGGACAATAAGGAATAAAAGATTAGAGGCCAAGAGTGCTCTGGAAGAAGAAAATCAAAATCCCTCCTAAAAAATGTCACTGGAGTGGGCTGTACTACGAAACGATGTTACTGTTAATGTTACTGATTGAAATAAAATCTGAACTAGTCTTAAAGAAAACAGTATAATATTTGAACAACATTTTATAAAAAACAAAAATTAGGTTGGGGATATACCTCAACAGCACAGCACCTACCTGGCAAGTGTGAGGTCATGAGTTTGATTCCTGGCACCAAAAACACAACAAAACAAAACAAAAAACTAGACACTGATAAGAAGCGAGAAAAGCTATTTCTGGAAGAAGCAAAGCAAAAGTATCACTGGGGACCAAGCCACACCTTCTGCCATCTCCTCCTGTATCCCTTTATGGAAAAATACCAAATCTGGCCAGTGACCAAGAAACAAAAGAACAGTAGAAAAGCCTTGCTTCTGGTGCCTCAGAGAAGAAAACTTGGCATCTAGCCTTTATGGAACCAGCCTTCCCCTTGCCTGACACTCAAAAGTTTTAAAGAAGTACAGGAATACAGCTCAGAGGCAAAATACACAGGGTAGTGCCACCAGTAAGACTGAAAAGGACACAAAATTACATCCTCGGCATGGGCTTTGAACTAAGTAGAGTCAAATGGAAGCCCGCTCTGGTTGAGTACAGAACGATGGTGCCCAGGCTACCGTGCACATGTGGCAAGTGCGTGAACACACAGAATCCTGCAGGAGTCCTGCCTGGCTTCTATCTAGTGAACAGTTATCAATTTTCCAGCTGTACTGTTTATGGGATTTGCAAATATTTAGGTAGCATCTAAATGTTTCTTTGCACAGATTAACAATTTCTGTTTAAGCATTAAATTTTTAAAAATGTAGTTATCTTTCTAAATTACATAAATTGTTTTTCCTATTTTCACAGACTATTCGCAGAAAAAAACAATGTCAATAAACAATGAAAAATACTTCATTTCTTGAATAAAGGAGTTATCTTTGCATATCACATTAATAAAAACATTTTATAAAACCTACAAGTGGTAATAGTGTGATGAAACGAAAGCAGATGCATTTATAACGTGAAAGATGATGTGCAACATGGGGAAGCAAGATGGACGCAGTTAGGTAAATTACTAAAGACTGGAAATTACTCCCTACTCAGTGCCATAAATCCTCCACAGGGAAGACTGGAAATTAACTCTGAAAATATGTCAAAGCATAGTTAACAGCATTGAGAACTGGTTGAATAGTAAAAAGGAAATCAACAAAATGAGGATTTAAAATCATACATATACAATCGATATACATTATCTACTAGAAGCATCATACAATAATAATCTTGCACCTGCGTGGACAAGCATATAACTTTTCCTGTACTTTTTTATACTTTACAAATTTTTAAAATGACAATGTGGATCCTTGAGGTTTTTGTTTGTTTTGGTACCAGGAATTAATCTCAGGACCTTGAGCTTGTCAGGCAGATGCATGTGCCACTGAGATATATCTCCGGCCCTTGAGTTATGAACTCAGTTCATTCCAAGGGCTGATTGTAAGTCAGGCTGTCAGCCGAGGCTCAGACTCCTCTACAAAGCCTCAAAGTTGCTCTCCTGTAGACAAGCAGACCTCAGGGTCCTTAGCAAGGCACTGGCCCAGGACTTCTCAACCCACACAAGAAAGGATATTGTAATGATGCTTCCAGACCTCGTTAGGGGTTAAATCTGTATCTGAGACCATCTATAGAAGCACAAGCAACCAGCATTTGGGTCACCACTCAAGACATTAGCTGTAAGTTAAAACTTAAATTCCAGTCATAACCCAAGCTGTTTGTAACTTGACGGTCCACTGATTACATTTAAATGCTACTTAAGAAATTTTCTTTTGGGGCTGGGGATATAGCTCAGTGGCATAAGTACTTGCCTTGGAAGCAGGCAGTCGTGGGTTCGTTCCCTGGTACCGATAAAAAGGAAAAAGACAAAAAAAAAGAAATTTTCTTTTAATCACATAATTTTCAAGCTTACGAACAGAAGGGGAAAAAGACCCTCCAACAATTTCTAGGTGTTCTGCTTGAAAACTATTGTGGCTATATCTGCAGCAATGTCACACAGACATGCACCTCTGAATCTAGGATTCACAAACTCAGGCACCTAGCCTCCTACAGAAACAACCTTTCCAAAGGGGACAGTGAGCGCCTCACCAAACCAGCGTACATTGCACAGGTCTTGGTTCCTCTTTACAACCTCAAACCAGTTCCCCTGGTCTTCTTCACCCCCAGGAAATGCACCACCAGAACTGGCAACCCCTTGGGAAGCCCACCTGGCTCTAATTCCACAAACTGTCCATGCCTTCTACTTCTGCACATCACTATCAGCAGCTTTGCCAGAGACTTCATCCCTGTCCTTCCTGCCATGGCTGGAGGCAACCTGCCCTCCAAAGCTCAGGGCAGAATGAATGGCCCCATGTGCCCAAGACGGGTAGGACCTTTAAGAAGAGACAAGATCGCCAGGAAGGACCACAGGTTACAAAGCCAGGCAGTGTGACACTGGAAGCTGCCCATGTTGTGTCTTCCTCTGTGCCCACAAGTCGCCACCAAATGGGCTGCCTGATCTGAAGGCAAAATCAACTTCTTCCTTATCAATTACCAACTTCCGTCTGTCAACAGCAAATGGACAAAGACGTTTCCTTATCTAGTTTTACCACATTACTGTCCACTCAATGTGCACTCAGGGAGCAGCCCCAAATCCTCTTACATGTAAGTAAAACAAGTTATTGATGGGCTTAACACATGTAAAATGCTTCCCAGTATTCCCAGTAGAAAATCCAAAAGTCCTTACTATTCCACAAGGGTCTACTTAAAATTTACCACACCAACAAAAACAGTGTCTCCAGGAGGTTTTTGTTTTTTCTTTTAAGCTCTCTAGATGACTCTGATGTGCATTCAGAGCTGACAATATGGTCCTCTCTCCAAACTCCTCTGTCATTCTCCCCTTGACTGCCAATGACAGCTCTCCTGCCTTTCTGCCTCATGTGTACCAATGCCTAACCTATCCCAGAACCTGCACAGAACTTCTGTTAACATAGATATTCTGACATATTTACTGGGTACGACATATGTACAAGGCGGTCTTACGTAACTGGGGATATAACAGACCCAGTTCCTATGTGGTTTATTTATATCCAAGGGAAGGAAAACAGATAATGCACTACATATGTGTGCATACATGTGCACACATGCATATGCTCACACAGGACAGTTATCAGTGCTGTAAAGAAAGGCACGGGGAGAGAAGAGAAATGCTGTTCCAAAAGGTGACAGAGAGCCTTTCGACAAGTAATGTTTGAACAGACACCTGCATGAAGTTAGACTGTGGTCCCTGCATGTGTCTCCAGAAAGGCAGAAGATTCCTCAGTGCAATGCCAAGAGGAGCTTGCTGCCCAAGACACTGTGAGGCTGGAGCAGAGGGAAAAGTCGAGTTGCAGGGATCAGAAAAGTGACCAGAGTGTGAGCTGGGGGGTCCTCCCAGGAAGATTTCACTTTCCTGGGAAATAGAAAGCCCCTGAGGGTTCTCAGAAGACCAGCATCCCTTAAGTTCTGTTTTTGGAAGGCACATTAGGGCTTCTGTGCAGAAGTGTGGAGGGACGGAACCTGCTGCTATGGCCTAAAAGGGAGAGGATGCTGGCTTGGCTCAGAGCTGGTAGATGACAGGAAGCAGCAGTCAGAGATGCCTCCTTTTCAAGCAGAGGGATTAGTTACTCTTTCCTGTGCTGCAGCTTTGCCCTCATGCCTCAGAGCCTGCCCTGGCTCTATAGGGCCAGCCCTGCTCACCACCCTACCAGTGAGCTCTATCACATGGCAACCTGCTTACTTCTCTACAGCCTTCCTCCTTGTTCAGGATCACCACACCTGTTTGTTTGTGTCTGCCTTTTATCTCCCAGTCCAAAACAGTCTGCAGGAGAGGAGACCTTGTCTATCATTCTCTGCACCCACAGCAACACCCAGTATACCAAATCCCCACTGAGGATTTCCTCAATGGGTGACGACAAGTTTGTCTGAATCTTTAGAGGTGGACTTTTTTGTAGGCATGTGTGGCTGGAACTGTCTGTTATACAACACAGAGGTCACTACTTTTCAGCAAAGTGTGAAAATGTTCATTTCCACTCTACAATGATGATTTTAGACTTTTGACTCTATTTATGAAAAAATAGCCTAACCTTTATTTGAGTTTTAATTTTGTATATTAATATGCACAGACTGAAAGCTATGGGAAGGCACAATCCACTGGCATAGCTAAGTGCACCACTCACACCAGATAGGGGAATCAGCGTTGATTCTGAAACGCTGATACTGATGATTAAATGTTTTAAACAGGAAAAGTATAAAACACTATATTTAAAAGTGAAATATGTCATGCATGCTCTCATTCTAATTTCTCGCACTCTATCTGAGGTGCCTCCAGCATCATGCTCTGCTATGTGGAGCCCATGGATACAGGGGGTGGAAGATGTTTACAAATCTTATCGGAACAAAACCATAAAATGCCAGGGAGAATCAAAATAAACAAACGTTTAAATTCAAAACTGCAAAAGACACATTGCCATGAATCCCTCTCAAATCCTTCTCCGTGCTTTGATCACACTCATCCCATCATTGGTGCCACTTTCTGTAGCAGTTTTGGAAAGTCCTCTCTCCTAAGTGTCTTTATGAGGCATCATCAAAAATGCGGTAAACACTGCTACTGAGTGCCATCAATGGCAAAGCAGTCTTGTAATAACATGACGGGGTGTTTTCCTCCATCTCACTCATTGGATTGGCACATTCGACTTCTAGGTCTTCCCTAAAGTCAAAACGACCATAAAAGGTAAATGTCAGCTATGACAGCACAACTAAACACTCGAGAAAGGAGACTTCAGAAGTATTTCAGAAAATGGCAGGAATGATAGGCTAAGTGTGTGTTAAGTGAGACGGAGATTTTGTGGAGAGATTCATAGCAGTATATCCTTTATAGTAATATAATTTTTAAAAATTGAAACATTCACTGTAGTTTTTTATCACAACTCATATGTTGAAGAATGTACTGATTTTGAGGCTGAACATATGATCACTGGAACAACTTGAAAAGGTCTTTTGCATTAAGACCTCTAAAGAACTGATTTCATAAGTGTCTCAAAAGCAAGAAAGAGAAATATAATACATATCATAACTACAATCCTGGTGTAGAAAAACATTCAGGTGACAAACGTGGTACCTTTCTGAGCCCATACAGTAAGCACCACAGAGCAGCCTCACCTGTCATCTCTGATGTGGTAGAAAAAGCCGTATCCATTGTGCACCATGGGAACCACCACTCCCTGGATTCGTAAGTAGCCAACCAGACTTGTTGAGAGGACAAAATTCCCACCTCCTCCACTGCATGGCATAAAGAAAAGTGGCATTTCAGGCCTACAGATGCTTAAACTGTTCCTGAAGCAACTTCAGCACTGGCACAAATGTGAACCCCTATACTGTGTTACCTTCTGGAGAAAAGTGGGTCTGTGAAGAGCTCCGGGACAGGGAGACCTTCCTCCTTCGCTATGAGTGAAAGACCTAAAAGGTGACGGTCAAACCCTGCAATAAAACCCCACATCCAAAGTCAGAAAAAGTTCTCAACATGACTTTTTTAAAAGTCAGAATAATTCCAGCATACATACCTTTCCCTGCAGAACATTCTTTCATCATTTTATTATGCTTTGCAAAAGCTTGTAGCATCTTTTGCTGCTGCTCAAAAAGCTGTATTAAAAATCAAGATGATCAAATTTCAATACACATCAAAAACCAAATTCCAACAACAAACTGCAAAAAAACCTAACTAAACCACAAAAGCCTAAGCTCATTATAACTAGGATTTGGGAAATCTGGTAGAGAAAGATTTCTGTAGCACACGCTGCCATGCCTTTACTCAGCTCTACAGCCTTTCCTTCCTGATATGCCTGCTTTCTGATTTTTTTTTTTCTGGAAAAACTAAAATGACAGCAAAATCCAAAACAATGGTAAGAAGGAAATACACTATTGTCTAAATACTTTAAAAACAGAAATCGCAAAACAAAACATATATGCCTGTTTTGGTCCCACTGATTTCACAGAGAACCAGAATCTACGATTTCAGAAACATTTGGCCTCATGAAGAAAAGCTTCCAAGATCCTGCCATCACTAGTGCCACTCTACTTGCAGACGAGTGGGGCCTGAGGACCCACGGATGAAGACACGCACAGAAAGTGACACAAACAGGTCTCTTTTTCAGGCATGTTTCTTTTGCTGCTGCTTTTTCAGCTTTACTGACACAATGTCCAGGTATACAACCTGATATTCAGGCCAACATGTACACTGTAAAACAGTTACCCCAGCAGGCAGCAGACCATGACCTCACAGAGTTACCACTGCTTTTTCCCCTCGACGGCTTGTTTCTTAAGTCTTTCCAAACACACACTTCACTGGCAAATGAACACGTGCGTGCTTTGGAAACTTCATAAAACAAAAAGCCTCGAAGTATTTCAATGACCCAGGATTCCTTGAGAACAACAAAACTAGTCTGGGAGCATCTCCTCTGTGGTACTCACACTGGCAGAAGGGTCTTGCATGGCCTGGCACCACCTGACGGCCTCCATGGTACATGAGCGCACTGTCTCTGTGCGGCCATGATAGAAGTATCTCGTCATTGCTGTCTCATAGCAGCAGCCAGGGCTATGAAAATACAAAGAGCATATCGTAAAGAAAACGCTAATTTTCCCTAATTAAAATTGATATCGACACATAACGGGAGGTAAGAATGTGTACAGAAGGGGAATGGTTATGCCTAAACCTTGTGATTAGTGTGTTAAGCAGAATTTGTGTCTTCAGGATTGACCACCTTGGTAGTCTTGCTTAATACATTTTGGCTTGGATTTTGGGTGACACAAAAGAAAGTATGCTTAGTGCAACATTATGAAGAAACTAAAGAAAACATGGACAAAGGACAAAGAGTCCGTGGTAAGGGTTGAAGAGTGAAGAGCCCTAGAGAGCGCCTCAAAACTGCCTGTATCGTGTTGGAAGCCCTTTGGGTAACCCTGAGACTGCCCCACCTCTGCAGAGTTTTTGTCAGCGCTCTCAATTAAGGAGGACATCTCAGCAGAAATCAGCACAAACTAACTGATTATCTTCCTCTTTCTTCTCATCTTTTCAAAGCCTTTTTTCAGTCTCTCTTTGGGCCCTTGTCAGACATGGTATTTTAGAGTGCATCCTGTATATTGTGGAGCATTGTAGCATCAAGAAACACAATTTGTTTGAGTTCTGATATGTAGCATGATTTTCCTGAATAACATACTTTAAAAATAAAGGACAACTGTATTTATGTTTTTCTTGCATTGTAATTTCTAAGTACTTATCATTTTGTAGAACATGTGTGAAATTAAGATAGTCTCTTAAGAGTACCTGAGCCTTGTATGAAGTGATGTTTCCTTTTCTTGGGTCTATTAATGACTGACACTAACTGTCAATAACTGACACTAACACTGACAGTAACTACTTTATACTAACTCAAGTTTATTAATGGCTAGCTCTAAAATATCATGGAGTATAATTAAAATATATATTCTTCCCATTTAAAAAAAAGGAAGAGAATACTAAAGTCATCACAAATACAGTGAACCAATAAAAATGGCTTTATTCAGAGACTGAGACCTTGAACTCAGACTGAAGCCAAGACTTCCATTTAAGACTAAAGCCTGGCAGAGCCTGGTACTGTCACTTTGCTGGTCGTGCACAGAGGCCTGTGCAGATCCCACGATCGCTGCCCCTGGTTTTCTGCTATGGAGGGATCTGATGTGACCCAAACAAACGGAACAACCTTGGGAAGCACGAAGGTGAATAACCACACTTCCAGGTAACAAAATGACTACACAGCTCCAGTGATAAAGAGAGTCTGATACAAAGGGAGACACAACCGACGAGACATAAAAATCCAAAAACCTTCTCACACCTTTGGCCAGCTGATTCTGTTGAGTTAGGGAAGCAGAAGCCAGCAGCCTACAGCACAGCTGGGCCCCTAGTGATCAGCTCCATGTGTCAGTGTCAGCTTGATTAGGGAGGGAAGCTACAGGGCACGCCTGCAAGGTGCTTCCAGAAGACAGGCACTCTCCCAGCCTGTGGGGGGCCTGGGTGGAACAGAGGCTGCCATGGGAGCAAACATCCCTGTTCCTGGCCTCCCAGACAGGATTCCTTACAGCCTCACACCAGTGAAGCAGATTCTCAGGAACCTGGACTCAGGCCCAATTAGATTATCAGTTTTCCTCAGCTCATAGGCAGATTAGGGGACTTCTCCGTTCCCACACTCATATGCACCAATTCCCATCACAAACCTCAACCAACTCTCTCCCAATATGCATACATGGTTCTGATCTCTGGAGAGTTCTAATACAAACCCTTTGCTGATGCCATATATAAAAATTAACTCAAATGGATTGAAGACCCACAAATCTGGTGAATATTTAAATTTTTAAAACATTTATTACAGTAAAAGGCACAGTGCTATCAATCCTTGAACTATTTCCCTTCCCTTCAATTTTACATCATCATCTTTGCTGCTTTCGGTGACCGCTCTGGAGTCCTCTTTGCCTGAGTATCTTTAGTTATACTGTCATGGGAGCCTCAATGTCCGAAACGGATCAAAACGTTTATCTTTCATGGTCATTTTGACTTTGAAGAAGAGCCAGAAGTCACATAGTGCCAGATTTGGTGAACAAGTAGATGAGGACACAGCATCATGTCTTTACAAGCTCACCTGACGGCACTCGGCAAATACATTTACCGTACTTTTTTTTATCACATCTTATAAAGACACAAAAGAGGATTCCAGAACTGCTTCAGAAAGTGGCAAGAACAAGGGGACAGGTGCATTCAAAGTGAGAGCACGTATTCTGAGGAGGACTGATGGCAAAGTGCCTTTTGCTGCAATAAATTTTCTTTATTCACCACACGTTTTGATCATTGTCTGTAAGTGTTGGCAATAACTTCAAGCAATTGGAACATATGTACAGAGTTAGTGGAAATACAAAATGGCACAGCTATATGGAAAGCAGTGCAACAATTCTCAAAAAGTTAAACATAAAATTATACAATGCAGGGCCGAGGGTATAGCTCAGAGACACAGCACCTGCCTGGAAAGTGCAAGGTCCTGGGTTTGCTTCCCAGTACCAAAAAAATAAACAGAAAAATAAAAAATTATACAATGCAGCAATTTCACTTCTCAAAAGAATTGAAAACAGGTCTCAAACAGGTATCTGTATGTGACTGTTTATAGTAGCATTGTTCACAAAAGTCAAAAGGAGAAAACAATCTAAATGTTTATCACTTATAGCAGGCTAGATATAAAAGCAAAACCAAGGGGCTCCCACTCTTTCTTGGATTCTAGAAAGTCACAACAAAATGTCTTTCTTTTTCCAAAAATGAGGAAATCCTGGGTCATCTACAGTCATCTACACAATCTAGTTTGTACAAGCTCATTAGAAAACTGAGGTGCAAGGGAGCCACACAGTCCACAGAAGACAACAGGGCCCGGTGCCTAATGGAGAGGGAGAAAACACTGGGGCGCAAGGCTGCAGCTGCTGGGGCTAATGCACATCCCGGGGCTCGAGAGTCGAAACCCAGAAAGGGACAGCTCTCACCGCCCATGGAGTCTGTAATAGGCCAGCTGCAGTGCAAGCTGGATGAATGTGTCGGGGTGCAGTGAGTGCTTCTTGGTCAGCTTCTTGCCAAAAGAGGTGAAGGCAGGTGCTACAATTTGCAGATCAGACGCCTATAAGACACAGATGGTGACAGGGACAGTGAGAATCACCACAGGGGACTCAAAGTGGACCACCACTGCATTAGACCCATTATCAGACAAGTAACTAAAGTTTTGAAGTCATGATTTTAAAATGTTTTCCACAGACCCACCAAAGTTTTATACAGTGGACCCTTGACTTACAAACTCAATTTGTTTGCGAGGGCTGGCTGTTGCTCAAATTGGTTATAACTCGGGACCATTTTTCCCATAAGAAATCATGGAAATATCCACAATGCATCCCAAACTGCCCAAAGCACTCCTTAATCTCATGATTTAAAAAAAGGCTGTAAAATGTGCATAATTTACCAGAAACACCAGTAATTCTCCTAGCATATTCACCAAGAAGTTTACAAAATGTGCCTTGTTTACCAGAAACAACAATTTCATTCTGTACTCACCATTTGAGTTGACATCTTTGGCTTGCAGGAAAGGGGGATGAAATGCAAGGGTTAATAATTTGGAGGGATTTCCAACAACACCATCAGGAAATCCGGCTCTCTGGTATACTGTCTCTCCTTGTGAAAATCTGTAGCTCACTAGGACCTGCTTCTGACTCAGTAGGTCTCAACCTTTTCAGAACTGAAAGCTGGTCTAAGGTTGTCTGTCATTCCTTTCACACTGTTCTGTAGTATGACATGACATTGTCATTCAGCAAGTGAATGCAGCAATTGGCTTTTTCTGTCTGGGTAGGTCTTCTCTACAAATGTCTGTAGCACTGTCCAATTTTTTCAGGATTTCCTATTTCAAAAGAATTCTGCTGCTGCTAAAACACCCTCTCCTCTTCAGAAAGCTCCTCAGCTCTCACTCTGTTGCTCAGACAAAAGTTGCTGAAGTTCCTCAGTAGACAACTCCTCTAAGTGTTCCTCTGCCGGTTCCTCAGCATCACTGCTGTTTACCTGCAGGCCTGTTGACGCTACTACAGTGACAATGTCATCAACCACACAATCCAAAGAAGGCTCAGGTTCCTCAACACAGCCTTCAAGGTCTCCCATCTGTATGATTTTAGGCCACGCTTTCTTCGAGGCAGGTCTCGGTGTCCTTAGAGACACACTGGCCCAGCATTTCACACCCCACCTCACACAGGAAAGGATCTGTAATGTTTCTCCCAGAACTCCATTTAGAGTTAAGCCTGTGTTCTGAGACCATCTGGAAGCACTTCAGGAACAGTTCCTTGGTGTAGAGTTTATTAAAGTTAGCTGTAACCTATTGGTCCACAGGCTGCAGCACAGGAATTAGTTATATTAGATGGGAGGCACTAAACTGAGAGCAGCGGAGCTCTTTAGCCAACTCTTCTTCCAAATCTCATGGTAACCAGGGGTACTGTCAATGATCAAGAAAGCCTTGAATGGTAAACCTCTGCTTCCAGATATCTCCTAACAGTATGACAGAAAGCCTTCCTGATCTACTCAAGGAGAAATACTTGTTACCAAGGCTTCTGTGTTAGACCTCCATATGGGCCCTAGCCTATTCTTCATGACTTCATATTTTCTAAACACTCCAGGGGTTACAGAGTGATAAATGAAGGGAAGCTTTATCCTGAGGTCACCACTTACATTGGCACATGGCAATAAGGTTAGCCTGTCCTTCATAGGCTCTTGGCCTGGCATTTTCTTTTCTTCCTGGGTAATGTATGTTCTCCCAAGCATTTTCTTTCAGAAAAGGCCAGCTTCATCACAGTTGAAAACTTGATGAGAGCAAAAGCAATTTCTCTGTGTCATCATTTTGAAATCATGTATGTTATTTTCAGCAACCCTTTCACCAGCACTGGCTGCTGCATCCTAATTCTTGCTTTAACATTACGAAACTTCTCTTACTGGCACAAAATGTTTTACCATTATCACTCACTGATGGACTGTCCTTTACAACATCTGCATTCATAGCTCAGCTTTTTCAAATTATAGTCTCAGACAGGCTATAACCTGCCATCATCTCTTTTTATCACACTTATCATAGTCTTTCTACCTAATCTAACACTTTGATCATGACTCAGTAATTTGAGTAACACCTTTAGCAACACTAGCTTCCTTATACAAGTATTTTCTCTAAGATTGTTGAGGGTGGATTTTTGACTCGCTGTACATATTGGTGAGACTGGTCACGTCAATGTCACTCTTCTATTTCTCCACAATTTCTTTTTTCAATTGTGATTGTTTTCTTTATCTTCCCTTCCTCCCGTAAATTCTTTTCTAGATTTGGGGGGGGGGCATTTTGATAGAGGTAATTATAGCAATTATACAAAGCACTGATCAAAATTATATCCACAAACACACACGTCTGGGTTCAGATTGACACATACACTTTTCTGGCATCAGGAGTTTCTGCTTACAACCACACATGTGGCTGACATTTAGGTCACAACTCAAGACTCTGGCTATAAATTAAACCTAAAATTCCAGTTGTAACCGAAGTTGTTCCTATGGGAGGTTGGTTGTAATTTAAGGGTTCACTGTATATAGCTGGTAAAAGAAAAAACATCCATCACCATCTAAGAGAAAAGTGAAATATCTACCTCTTGAAGAAACTGGGCTTTAGCTTGCTTGATGTCATTTAATATCTTCTCATCCACAGTGAACAGGAGCTCCTCTGGAAGTGGTATATCCCGTACTTTTTCTGAACCCTGAAAACAGGGAAGACTTAAAAATATTTTCTCTGTGAAATGTTAGGAGGAAAGGAAACAGCTGTTCTACGTACCATCCATCTTCCTTCAGTCTCTATAATCCTCTCATCCACGTAATGGGCGATGTTCACCATGACCATGGCATCAAAAGGTGCATGCTAAAACAGCACACCAAGAGCTCAGATAGTTGTTAGACTAAAACCTTAGCAACATACAGGTAAAGGACAGAAAGGCACAGACAGAATCCTCAGATGCCTTGCTTCCTACAATAAAGATCCAGCAATCCTAGAAACTGTAATGTTATTTAAGATACAACGTTCACAGCTGGAGGCAGTCACTAGGGCCATTGGGTTCAGGGGTGGGTGAGTGTGTAAGGAAAAACAAATCACCAGAGAAACTAACTGTGTAAAGAAACACAAACAATGGGAGAAATGAAGTATGTTATTCTCTCTGGAATTCAAAGTAGATGTATGCATGTAATGCTGATCTGAAAAGCAGGTGGGGAGGGCAGATCATCTGAGGGCATTCAGGACCCTGAACTTCTTCAAGTGAAGATGGCCACCCTAAGGCAAGGAAAGCCCAAGAATGCAGATCCAACTTCTGAGAAGTTGCTGACCCTTTTCAATGTAATTCTAACAGTATCACAAGCAGCTAAGTTGGAGAGAAATTAATGTACAGTCAGAGAGAGGCGAGGCTCTCAAGAAAGTCAATGGAAATCAAAGATATCAGAGCTGTGGTTGGAACTGCATCTGAAGAAGACCAAGCCGCAAAACACAGTCTCAATGGCCTGACTTGTGTGCTTCCTTATGGGAGGAGAAGAACTGTACAGTAATTATTACCACCAAGTCCATTAAGTCTAGATGTGCATTAGACACTGCTGGGAGCTCCTGAGTTGGTGATCGTTCACATTTGTGGAGCCAAAAGCACAAGGGCCAGAACAGGAGTGTGCCAAGGACATGAAGCACCTGAGAAATGCCCTTAGGGCATAGAGTGCTAGAGGTGAACAAAGGGCTGAGAAGTGAGCTAGTTAAGCGAAGGGACATGGTATGACAAGTGTATAAATAAACGCAATGTGGTAGTTGAGCAGTCTCCCCATCCAGAGGAAGGGCTTCACCTGACCCCAGCTTTCTGTCTCTGTCTTAATTTCTTCATCATCTTATCATTTTTCCCCTCAGGAATTTAGAAAGCTCTCATGGTAGACACAAAAGACACCTAAGAGGGTAACCCATCCTTTCCCAAGAATGTTCTCATTTTAGAAGCTACAGATAAGCCAAGGTGGATGAAGTCAGCCATAGGCCCTTGCTATGTATCCCTCTTTACTACTGGATCAAATTAGCTACATAACTCACTACCATCTTATTGGCTGATTATAGTTCAGCCTATGCTATACCCACACTGTGACTTTACTGTATAAATTACCCGATAAATGTTCTTGGTGGCAACCCACTCAGGACCCCTCCTGAGCAGCCATTCCTTAATCTCCAATAAATCTTTCATATGCTTAACCTCCTCTATCCTGTGGAATTCATTTTTCAATTTCAGGGGACACAAACTCTGCACAGCTGAAGCTAGCAGGCTGGGAGTTACACTTCTTCTCTGGCAACACTACAAGCACCCAAAGCAGAGCTGACTGTAAGTGTCTCACAGGGTAGACTGTGAGGGAGGCTGTGCCAGACGCGAGCTGCTGCTGTGAGCAAGGAGCACTTGAGGAGGCCACAGGTCCCTGCCAGCCTGGGCGCTCCCAGAGAATCTCAGGTGTCACCATGGGTACTGCTCTACCTGAGACAGCAGCATCAGTGTCTCATTGTTCTTCTGGAACCAGGGAGAAGAGGAGGCTGAAGGATATTAGTCTCTCTGGCAGATAGGAGAGAGGCTGGAGCTGTCAACCACTTCCCAGGGGGTACTTCTCACAGAAAAGGTGAGCAGGAACTGGAATGACGACAGTCAAAGAGACCCAGACGATGGACTAGAGACACCAAGGCAACTAATTAGAGGTTCTGTGTCAACAGTGAACTCAAAGGGAGGATAAAGAAAATGATCTTCCAAACAACTCACCACAATTCCTTGTCATGCCACGAGCTGCTCTAACAGACACCTACCCTAGCATCTGCTTATCAACCAGGCCACATACTTCTGGAACAGCAGCATTTGCTGTCCTTCAAGCAATTGCCACATTCTGGGGATGTGATCCTGGGCCAGGCTAAGGTGAGCACCTGATTCTCAGGACAGACAGGTGAGTCACACAGACTAATCATAGCCAGATACAAGGGCTGTTTCAGGACTTTTGCTGGCACCACTGGAAAAAGGAAGCAGGCTATTTCCCTGGCGGTCAGTAGGCTAAGAGACCTCTGAAGACCCGAGACTGAAGGCAACATCATGTTAGGCTGTCTACGGAATGGGAGAGAGATTCTAATCAGAGCCTCTGGACACTGGAAGTCAGCTTTATTCATACGTAGGTACACATCTATGCCAACAAATACCTTCCTCAGCGAGTACCAGTTTGATTTAAATTTCCATCATTTAAAACTGAAAATGGATTTAAAAATAAGCCACTGAACCCTTTTTTTCTGATTTTTTTTCTTGATTTATAAATCTTCTGAATCTAAGACAAAGCTAGTAAAGACCAAGAGAAGAGACAGAATAAAATGGGGAAAAGTTCTTTTTATTTTTTCATAAAGATCTACACTGGTACATAACTGCTGGATATTTTAATACTCATTATCTAAACAGTGTCCCAAAGGTTATGTGTCATCTTAAGAAAATAGTTAGGTAATTACTAGGTGAATCTAAAAATATATTCATTTATATTTCCTTAGGCATAGAAATAATGTTGTATGATACCTTTTAAAATAGTTGAGGTACTATGCAAGCAGATAATGGTGGATTTTAATAAAGCTAAAGTTAGATGTAATTTTTTTAGCAGATATACATCAAGCTGTGGGTCCTACTACAAAAGAAAATAACTTGACCTATGCTCTACATCACTGAGAATTCATAAGTGGACTTCTCAATATATAATGCTTTTAAGCTAAAAAAAAAAATATCTATTTATCTGTAGTACAGCATACCCTAAGTACTTGTGAACTACTGCCAACAAGTTTACCTAAAAGGAAAATAAAAAAGACTTTTTGATAGTTTACTTACATCACAGTTACAGCCAAAGACTCCATTAGAAAAGGAAATCAAGTTATAGGATTTGTCTCCCCAGCGTACTGTTGGATCTCCAGTAAGAACCATGGTAAGTATCTGAAAGAAATTGGTATTTTCCATGTTAAAAGGGCACCTGAGTTTGATTCCAGCACTAACCCTTCCCACCTCCCAAAAGCAAGCAGGGAATAGGGCTCATTAATACTGGTATAAGTATTTACATTTTAAACACGTCATTCTCCCTTTTTCAAATCAACCAAATATAATAAAATGATGATATCATTATACTCAAAATACTGGCCCCAACTTTAGTTATTTCTCCAGTCTCAACAAAAATCTTTCTAGAAAAGAGAAACCTAGTACATGTCTCATAGATGTTTATAAAACATGCAATTGAAAACAGAAGCCTTCTGTAATTTGAATAGTATGAGGCATAGGTGAGCTTAGTCACTTAAAAGTTAAAAGGTAAATCTGCACTTCATTCAATCTATTTGTCAAACTAGATTTTGGTCCATTAATGACTTATGAAATAAATTTTGTATATGACAATTAATACTCTTGAAAAAAGAATAAAATAGAATATGATGAGCACAAACACCACAGACAGTAAAAGCAAGCACTGATTTATGAAACATATTAAATATGGTATGTGCATGCCTGCACACCATGTGTGGACACCAGGGAAGTGAAAATATACAGTGTGTTAATACACACACACACACACACACACACACACACACACACACATATACAATGTGTTTACATACATTTTTTTTTTGAGTGTGTACCAGGAGTCGAACTCATGACCTTGTGCTTGACAGGCAGGCACTTGTGCCACTGAGCTAAATCCCCAGCTCTTTATATAAAGTTATTACACTAAGACCTACACAGCCATTAACCTCCCTCAAAATACTCCCTAACCTGCTCTGAACACACTAACCATTCATGCCACTTTCTAAATCAGTTCTGGAAATCCTGTGTCTCTATGAGGTATGATCAAAAATAAGCTGAATACTACTGTCGAGTGTCATTCAAGAGAAAACCAGACTTGTAAACATATGACACTGTGTCTTCACCTATCTTATTCGCTGGATCTGGCACTGTGTGACTTCCAGCTCTTCTCCAAAGTCAACATAGCCATGGGAGCTAAATGCTTTGAATCAGTTCAGGACATTGGAGGAGCCATGAGCGCACAACTAAAGACAGTCAGGAAATAGGACTCCAGAGCAGCTTCAGAAAGTCATAAGGACAATGGGATGAGTGTGCTGGAAGTAGAGGGTAGGACTCTAAGGGGGATTAATAAATAGCAAAGTACTCTTTATTGTAATGTTTTTCAAAAATGTAAACATTCATCGTATTTTCCTATCAATCTTGTACATAGTGCGCTACAATCTAATTGCATCTCTAAGAACAGATGAAGTTAAAAAAAAAAGTTTAACAATTCTGCATTAAAATATTCTTAAGCATTCTGTCCCTCAATGCAAAAAACATACCTAAAAAAGTTGCTTTTTAGTTATAAAATTTTTAATTCTGAATTATTTCTTCCATCATTTACAGTGAGGAATCCATTAGGAAATAATTCTAAGTATTTTCAAAAGACTGGTGCCAATGTAAGGCCTGCTTGATTTCTCAGGATATGAAAAGACTAGGCTATAGTGTTTTCAAAAAAGGTCGCACTGACCCTGAAACTTACTGAAGCCTGTGTTCAATGGCTTCCTTACCAGGGAGACAGATTCTGATGACAGACTGAGGAGCCAGCAAGGGACATGAGCACAATCACAGACAGGAAGAGGAGGCGGTGCCCCAGGTCCCACGCACACCTTCTCTATGTGCAGCCGGTGAGAAGGCCGACACACTGCCATGGACAGGCAAGCAACAGTCATACGTCTTTACAGCAGGTACAGACTACCAGACTGTGTGGCCAGGACTCACAAAGCACAACTCATTTATATGTAAGAGTCAGTTTGATTCATGTATATTTTATAGTTGAGAAAAATTCTAAAAGCATAACTATAAAACATAGAAAAAAACTCTCATGTTCAATACACAGAAGAGTCCTCCAGAACAGCCCGTAAGATGCTGCCAGAGCAAGACGGTCACCTGGGAGTAATCTTCCGGGGTAACAAGAGCACTGTTGTCCTCCAAGGAGTACACGAATAAACTGCTCTGAATTCTTTCTAATGAAGCCAAGTTCTCTGGATCAAGACCAATCAGATATGCTCGTGCCTAAAGGGTAAGGAGATCATGATTAAATGTTACAATTTAAATATAGTATGTCCAGAAAATCTCAAGAGTTTGTCAGAGAACAGGTTTATTAGGAAGAGCATGATTACTACCTTGGCCCACTGAGTTCTCTCCTCAGTGGTCAGCGCAGCGACTCCAAAGCCAGGGGGCTCTTGGTGACACTTCTCATGGATGTATGACAGGTGTCTGAGAAGATGCAAGAGGACTCGGAAAGAGCACAGGCAGTGGGATCCACATTGGCCTTTCACAGGTCCCGTGGATTCATATTCAGATATCTTCACATTCTCCGCAGAGAAGCAGATTATGACCTCAACAGCAACCTACTTATTTCCTTCCTACACTTCATCGTTTTTTTAAAGTGATTATATATTTCTGCTTTCAATACTTCCCACTCACTCTTAGACTGCAATTTGGTTTTTGAACTACAGCAGTCTGGAGAGGGCGGCTGGGTTCAAACCCAGGGCCTAGCACATGGCAAGCATGTTCACTACCACTGAGCTACCCCTCAGCCCCGTGAATGAGCACTGGGTCACCCATGACGTTCCCCAGAGCTCCATCTCAGTTGTACTTACTCAGCATACAGGGCTTCATACAGGCAGTGTTGGACTTGTTTTTGTTTCTGTACCACTGCAGCACTGTGGTCCTCCTAGCCTCCCTGACCCATGGGTGGCCTTTGCTGATCATATGCCTTCTTTTCACTGCCAGATGTGTCCTTTCCCAGATTGTCACTGACCTTCCTGGACTCTTAATAATCTCATCCACTACTTTCATACTTCCCTTATCACCTTTATGCAGTGATTCCAATTCTCTATTAGCCAAACAAAATAGGTCACAAGTTAAAATGAGCCCATGAATCTCAAGTGTTCAATTTCACCAAGAATGGCTTTCGGTAGTCTGTTTAGTAACTCTGATCTAATACAACCCGTGAAATTTGGACAAATCCAATATAAAAATACAACACACACACAAATCACAAACGCAAAAGACCTAGAAGAAAAGCTTACCTATAGTAATGTATTATTTCCAAAAAAGATGTATTTACACACATGCACACAATAGATACATGTGTGTGTTCTTCTGTCACATGGAGGACTAAACATACAAAACAAGCAGCAGTGATAGCTTCCTGGGTAAGGATGGGACTGGTCTTGCCTGCACTACTTTCTATTTCTCCATGTAGAAGAGATTTATGTACATTTAGTAGAACTAAAAATTAAGTTAAAAATATAGAACTAAAAAACATGTACAAGTCTTTCCAGCTTTCTGTGCCCTTATAGACAGGTAATTCTGAACCTTTATTTTTAACTTCAACTCAAGCTTGAGACCTAACGAGTCTCAAAGAAATTGTGTGAAAACCTGAGTAGCTCCGGTGGGGTAAGTAGACACCCTTCATGTAGTGCCTCAAAGACAAACACTCGGCCCCGGCAAAGTACCGCGATGTGGCTTGGGGATTGCCCCTCGCTCTCTAGGAAAAAACAGAGAACACAAGAATGGAACACCCCAGAGAAGAGAAGTAAAGCTGCACACATCCCAGAGTAATCACTCCACTAGTCATTATTGTGTGTTCATCAACTGTATCACATAATGAGAACCTCAGGGGACAGGAAAAGTCAGTCAGTGGGCACCAGGCTACCATCACCACGCGGTGAGTTGTGGCATGCTGGCATGCTCTCCTGCTCACAGATGAGTGAGGAGAGTTAACAGGGACAAGTGTGAACGAGACCACCATAAAGAAACAATAGGTGTGTGAAGAAGCTGGCAGCTTTAACCTGTAAACAATTTATACATGGACATAGCACTGCCTGGTGGCCCATTGTACATGCTGGTGTTGCATATCACTTTAAAAACAAACTCAATATAAAAATTGCCAAGTTAACCTTGTTAGTGTCACATCTAGAAATCCACTAGCATTTAAAGCACCTGTACATTCTGAGCATCAATCAGACAAACTGCAAACCACTCCAGGTTTCCCAGTTTTCTTTCAGACTGGAATGGGAAGGGGAGAAGAGGCCTGCAGGGATCCTGAGGGACATCTACACAAAAGGACACATTTCTCTAACTTTATTTTAATGTTAACTGCTCATCAGATAATTTTACTGCAGCAATGTCTCGGAATGATTCCTCAAGAAAGCAGTTTCCAATACAAAAGGGTATTATACACATGGATATCAAGAGGAAAGAATTTTGCCCAGTACACAGTTATACATAAGGCTCTGACAATACCTGGTAAATCATTGATAACAGATTTTATGATTTTCTTGGTACCTCATTAGCTCCCCAAAAACTACGTGTATGCTATAAACTTCAGACTACTCTGATTCAGTCCCTTGTTTTAAATACTCCTCCCTTTGCCCAAGGTCTCATAAGGAGGGATTAAACACACATCTAGTTCTCTAGGCATAGTCTCCTTACTGAGATGAGCCTCTTAAACCCCAACACCTTGCATTTAGCCCTCTCTCTCAAAAGCCCACAGTTTCTACACTTTTTGTCTTATCAAGGATAGACTCCATACTCAATGTTAAAGTTCCTCCTGGGGAAAAATCCTTAAATCCTTACCCTCTTTTCCTCTACACCTGGCCCTGAATCTTACTGAAGAAATAAATACATCATCCAGTCTAATTTTATTTTTTTTATGGTTCTAGAAATGGAATCCAGAGTCTCTAGCATGTTAGGCAAGCACTTTTAACACTCAGCTACATTCCTAGCCCTAGGAATTCATGAACATATATCTCAAAAAAGATGTTATGGTTGAGATCTGCACTATCCCCCCAAAGGTTTATATTCAGAAGTGCAACTTTGGAAGGTAGCTGAATCGTGAGGGTCTCTACTCATCAGTGGACTATCCATTCAGGAGTTCGCAGCTAAATGTGAGGTTGGGAGGGAGGATCTGGCTGAAGAGGTGGTGCTCTGCAGGCCGATCTTCTCCCAGGCTCCCCCTTCTCTTCCTGCTTCCTGGCTGCCATGAGATGAGCAGATTTCCCCTGCAAGCACTTTCATCATGTTACTGTCTTACAGCCAGCCAACCATAGAACCAAATTAAATGTCTCCTCCTGTAAGCTATCGGTGTTGGAAGGTGAACGGTGACCAATACAGGGGCATTCAGCAGGGTTCAGCAAACCCACAACCCACAGTATGCATACTTTTCCTACTTCCCACAGTGACTATTCTAAGCCTCTATCCACAAAGCTTCCAGCACACTTCACTAAGGAAGCCCAAGCCTTCATCTCCTACAACAAAACTGGCTAATCTGTCCAACACATTGCGTACCTTCTGTGTTCCCTCCTACCCTCTCTTCCTTCTCTCTGGCACAGACAACCCCTCCACTACTTCTGCTTTTGACCCTCTCAGCTTTTATCTTTTAATCACTCTGGCTGAGATCTTCTTTTGCAAGATAATTTTCCTTTTCTCATAGAGTATCATCCCGATAACATAAAATCAGCTATCTTTTTTTTTTCTTTCTTTCTTCTTTTTTTCCCCCAGTACCAGAGACTGAATTTACAACCTTATGCTTGCCAGGCAGGTGCTCAAACCACTGAGCTAAATCCCAGGCACCATTAGCTATCTTCTTAACCAAAGTTTAAATGTCCCATCACACATTAAGAGTTTGTTTGTTTGTTTTGGCTAGCATTATTTGTAAATGTCACCACTTCACTGATTGTTATCTGTTCTGAATGGGCTTCCTTCTCCAGTATTCACTGACACTGCATGTGTCCAGGTAGCCACTAGCCAAGTCATATTGTCAAATCCAAGGCTCTATTTGACTTCTAAGGCACTGGATAGAACATCTTCCTTCTCTGGAGTCCAGGAGACAGCTGTCCTTGTCTGCTTCCTCCCTCCCTTAGTTTCTTTGGCTGACTACTCCTCTGACTTGGCAAATACTGTACTGGATTGTAGGAAGTATCAGTACTGGTTCCCCAGGTCATCTTTATTTGTACATTCCAAAGGGATCTTAGCTATTGGAAGAGCTTTACAAGTAAATCCTATGCCTGCTAGTAATGAATCCTAACTCTGAAACTGCAGTTGCAGTCCTTGTAAGAACTTCAAACTTTAAATCCAACTTCCCTCTTCTATTTCTACTTGAAGATCTACCAGGCATTTTACATTCAACATAATCTAAGGGATCTCTTGCTTTTGTACCCTAAAACATATCTCAATCTTTCCCTCTGCCTGAGTCTACATTCTCAAATTTATAAGTCAATCTGAACTCATGAGTCATCTATCCCACTAGTTCGGTGTTCAAATTTTTAAGTCAGCATCTTAAAATCTTGCCCAGGCTGACCTCAAACTTATGAGATAATGCAACCCTCCTGCCTCAGCCCTTGAAGTAGCTTAGAGCATAGGTGCCCACCTCATGCCCAGCTACAAGCCAAATATGTTAAAGTCATTCTGCTTCTATTTTTCTCTCATATCTCTCCATCAACCTTATTCTGTAACCCCAAATCCAACATAACCCAGAGTCTAATTTTCAGCACCTCCAAGCCATACCTACTACAAGCCATTAATATGACTTACGTAGAGTGCTGAAACAACCTTCTGACTTTGCAGTCTTTTGTCTCATTCCAAAAATTCCATTTGCTAAATAGCAGGCAGAATGCTCTTTTAGGAATCTTAGCTTGATCTCTTCACTCCCTTTCTCAAAATCCATTAATAGCTCCAATAAACCCTTTCTTGGTTTACAAAACACTGTGACCCAGCCTCTAGCCACCCTTTCAGTCAGCCCCCTCCCTCCTGCCTGTGTGGTTCACACTCCTTCAGCCTTGAAATGCTCCAGAGTCATTCCGGCCAGGGGCATTCTGCCCTCCACACACATCAGAAACAACAACAAAACAACTAAATGCAACGTGAAAGAACTGTGCAAGTCCATCTTGTTTAGATGCTCAGAGATATCCTTGGCTACTTCATCTAAAGCATAAATGCAGGCATGCATCTTCTCGAATTCTCCATGCAGTATTCATCAGCACCTTTGAGATTCTTCACATTTTACTTATTACCTTAGCTTCATCCCTGCCTACACCTCATCACAGAGCTGGAGGGTCAAAAATGTAATAACCACAACAGCATAAAGCACTGTAATCAAAAATGTATCACTGAATTAATGAACACCCACTTTGCACACTGCAACTCAAAGGAGTAACTCCAAGGAGGAACACGCTATGTAATAAAGACTGAATTCCAATCCAAGTCTACTGACAGTGGTTTCTTAACTGATATGCGTATTTTCTTTCTTTGCTGGTCGTACTCCATTTGTTTTCTCCTGTCACCCTTCATAGTTGGGCATTAAACAAACCCATTTTCCTAATCTTTTCTTTTTAGTTCTTTCATTTACAATGTTGAGGTAAACATGTCAACTGAGGGACATCAAGCAGCTCCAGGACCCAAAGAGATGTACACCCAGAAGTTGAATTCTATATGAAATAAACTTACAACCTTTAGACCATGGCTGACAATAAAACTTCTAAAAATCTGATGAAAAAATTCATCCATAATTATAAAGTAATTAGAAGCTGTCATTAAATTCCTAAAACATAGAAATTCTTGAAGTAGCCAGAAACTAGTAGTTACCATAGCAAAATTTTCCATTTCAAGATATGCTAGGACACCAAGCAGAAAGTGCCATAAACTGACAGTAAAAGGAAAATATGATGAGGCAATCTAAAGTCATGTGCCCCTAAGAAGCATGACTCCAGCCCTCCCCCAAGAAAAGAAAGAATAAAACATTCATAAAGGGATAGTGGCACAATGTGCACACTCTAGTGAGCAGTCACAATCACACAATCAGAGGAGCGTGCAGACCACATGCTCTGTGACTTCCTCAGCACTCTGCTTCATCAGCTACTCCTCAGATGTCCTGTGTAAGCAGTAGTCTGTGTTGAACCATGTGAATCAGGGTTTAGAACACAATTCCCATGTTTTCTCCACACTACCAGAATGTATTACAGAAAAAGATCCAAGAAAGCCTCTGATTTATCATTAGGTTAGGTTACTGATTAAAAATAGTTAGTAAGAAATATTCTTCAAAATTGTGTTCCAGGATGTTGTAGTAGAGATCACTAGAGAATACCTAAACAACCCCAATGACTTTACAAAACAAAAAACAAAAAAAATACTGCTTTTTACTTACCAGTCTTAAAGTAATTCATAATGTAATCTCTATTAACTCCTGGAACCTTGCAGGTAGAAAACAGCATTCGAAATTGATTCATATCTAGAGGGGTACTTCCAACTTTATGAACTGGCATTTTTTCCCTGTTAAGAAAAGTTTTGAGCAACAAGTCATTACAAAACTGACAAACCAGACATTCACAACTGTAGTCTTCTCCAAAGTAAATTAAACTCAACACTCTACCAACTAAGACTTCAGGTAAACCCATCACTGAATTCACATTAAGTGTCCTTACTGTCTCAGCCGCTGCCAGTAGTTCAAGTTATGCCAAAGTATTATACTTCCTCTTTCTAACTGTACACCTTCCTTTGGAGGCCAGTAGTGTTCAAAATGGGCTGAAGGACCTGCAAAGTTGACGTTCAGCTGTGACGGCACCCGAACATCCAGGTAGGCCACATTTAGCCACCACTCTTCCAGCTGAAAGACAGTGAGAAAGCTCTTCTTAGTGTCTGAAGGCATGACTGCTGGCAAAGCAAGCAAGCAAGCAAGCTGCTTGTACTATTCTTCAACACTCAAAAACACATTTTCTTGTTTTAAATCACAGATATTTAAAGATGCGACTATGTTTCTTCTTTCCTTCTGTAAGATCTTAAATATTGTTGAAATTGTAACTATCCCATGAAGTATTCAAGTGTTTCCTCAGAGTACCTGGGGTACATAAAACAGATATTAAACTCTCACCTAATGATAAAGCTAAGGCATTTGTAATTTTGCTTTAAAAACAGTAAGTGAAATACTAATTCATAAATACAAAAATTTGTCAGGAGGCTTAAAATTAACTTAGATTTTTCAAAGACACTGCTTTCACAATATGCAACTAAATTTCATGCATAAGCAGATCTTATTACCCAGAGTTCTTTTTGAAGAAATTTCACGAACTATAATTACTAATTCAGAAAAAAGACATAAACAAAAAAGAAACAGGCAAAACAATTTCTTTACTTTTACTCCACTTTAAATCACACAGTACTCAAAACTGAGAATGAAGAAATGTAGAAGTGGAAAATTTTAATATTCCATCATAGATAAAAATGGCTCACTTAAAAGATCATAAAACCTTTTATGGGAAAAATGTCAAAACATTTACTGCCACTACTTCTAGACCACACAATGCTTTTTAATTATAAAAACTCATCTCTACTTCATGTACTCCTGTAGAGAAGAGGTTGGCCTGAGACCCTCAATCATTACCACAGCAGCTTTCCTCAGATGAAGCACATAATACCCTGTTTCCACTCCCATTTTGCAGGGCCTTTTTCTCCCAGGAAGTGTTTAAGTACTTCCATGCTACCTCTGTATCTTCATGTTTTGGGCTTTGTCCAGGCTACCATCATCTGAATGAAATGTTTTACTCTAACATGGTCCTGGGGAACCAGACAGGGCAGGTGCCAAAATACAGATTTCTGAGCCCCAAGCCAGGCATGCTGACCGGAACCAGGAAGTGCACATTTTATCTCACATCTCTCAGGTAAGACACAGGCCCAGATCGTCAGAGACTCCCCAGTGAAGTGACTCATTCTTTGGGGTGACCATAATGACAATAATCTCTGCAGAGATTTTACAGCAATAATTTAGAAACAAGAACTATATATATTTTAATTTTCCTCCTTGAAACAACAATGATTTTTCAATTATAAGTATATTAAAATAAGTACCCAATTTCTTTTTCCTTTTGCCCTTTCAAGTAATTTCTGGTGCAATTTTCCTCCAATTCCATTTTTAAATTTTTTAACTATTTCTTCAGTTTTCTTATATTCTTCTTCATTTGCAAATGGCTTTACTGTAAAGAAATAAATGTGATTAAAGGAACTAGACTTCAAATATCATCAGCTGCCTCAATTTACTATACAAATCAGCAACTCAGATACATAAAACACTGTGCTAAATATTACTTGAGTGCAATAGCGTTTACAACACAAAATGACTGAAAAACAATGCAAAATATTGTTTAAAAAGTTTAAACAGTGAATATTATATAATTTAATAATTTCATGAAATTTTAAAATCATTCTAGGTGATAGTTAAAATTACATGGTGATATACTGTCTAAGTACTAGGCAACTTTTCAACCATAAATTTAACCACATAATGTAAAATACACATTATTAAATTAATGAACCCTATTTTACACCCTGGCTGAGGACACTGTGTCCTCTGCACCTTATCTAAGGTAATAAAGACTGAATTGGAAGCCAGTTTGCTTGCCATCAGTTTCAGAGAGATAAAAGTATCTTTCTGCTTGTGTTCAAATCAGACTCTAACCATTATACATGTAATACAATTTGGGTGTAAATATAAGTTTAAATCCTACCCAGAGGCTCATGGCCAAAAATGGTTTCCTACCAAAAAATGAACAATAACAATAACAAAAAAAATCTAAGCTTCTAATCCCTGAAAATCAAGCTACAAAATTAATTAGAAACCATGAGATGTTAATCTCTTCCTTTTGTTTGATCTTTGTCCTTTAAAATCTTATCTGGAAAAGAATTTAAATTGTAGAGGTTATTGTAAATTGCTGGATCAAAGAAAGTACAAGTAAAGTGAGTACTCAAGAACAAGAAGTAATCAGAGAAAATTTTAGAAAAAGCAGTAAGAATTCTTGACAGTAGGTAAGAAGAGAATAGTAAATTTTAAAAAAATCAGAGTGCTTCCAGGTATAAGTTAATCAAACACATTTATCTCTACTCCTAAAAATATGACACACTGACAGGAAAGTAATGAAAAGGGAAAAATCACAAGGACACGGAAAAGTTAAAGACTAGAGAACAGCAGTTAAGTTAAGCTAACATTTTAAAAATTAGAAATTGCTTGGGAAAATGGTGACTGGTTTGGCAGGACAGAAAAATGAAACCTCTGAGACCTGAAGGAGGGAGTGGGACAATCCTGAGCGACCAAGAAAGGCTCGAGAATGCCAGGGCAGGGCTCTTCAGCAACCAGGGAGAAATGAAAGCCAAAACCAGAGCATGCCTGGGGAAGCTCGGGTGGCAGATGCTGCCTCACTCCACCCAGAAAGCCAGAACCACCGGTGTTAAACTAGACCAGACAGCACGTGGCTCTAGTTACTTGGTGAGGGGTGACAGCGACATCCTATACTGCATACTTCTCTCTAGAGCCAAGGAAGAGAAACGCCTTAAATGGCAGTCAGATGAAGGACTGAGAAGGAAAATGTGGTGCATACACATCCTCCGTGGAAAACTATCCAGCCAGAAAAGACTGACGAAACCGTCATTTGCAACATAGATGGGTGAGTGTCATTATGTTAAGTGAAAGACAAGCACTGCTTGATTACACTCACATGCAGAATCTGAAAGGATGGATCTCACAGAGGTGAAGAGTGAAGGAAGTTCCCAGAGGCTGGGGAAAGGCCAGCAGGAGGGATGGAAAGGCTGAGCAGTGGGCACACTGAGTCAGCGAGGAGGAGGCTTCGGTGTGCTATTACACAGCATGTGACTGTAGCTAACGATTATGTCCTGCCTATCTCAAAAGCTAAAAGACCTTGAACATCTTCACCATGATAAAATGACATGTTTGAAACTGATATGTTTACCCTATTTTAAACATCACAATACATACATGCATCAAAACATACTACTGGTCCCATTAACATATACAATATTTATGTTTTTAGGTATCAGTTTAGAGGTTAACAGATTTTAAAAAGTATACACCCCAAACAATGAGGCTCATTCAGTCCCCTCCTCTCACTTCGGAAAACACTAGCTTATGTCCTTCAGGCAAGAAATAAGAGGATTCCTCATTGGGGAAACGGATTGGTTGTGTAGAAAAGAGTAGTAGGATGTGGGAATGCCCTAGCATTATTGCTTGGTCTGCCCACTGGTCAAGTTCAACCTGGCACAGAGGCCTCAGTTAGCTTCTGGGGATCTCACTGTGAAAGACAAAAGCATGAAGACCAACAGATATCTGAGGAATTTCTCTTGAGTGACAGAGCACAATGTACAAAAAGATTTAGTGATATCCAAGAGCAAACAGGTCAAAAGGGCAAAAGTACAGCTTGGATTAAATAAAGACAGTATCTGCCAGTGGCCAGACCCAGCATGGCGGGAAAGCTGTAGACCTTCAGGAGGTTTTGCCTCAAAATCAGAGCAGCACCCACATCTCACAAGGAACAAATGGCACCTTCAAAGTTCTTAAGAAAATTCATTCCAATGCAGAATTCTACAATTAGCTAAACAATCAGGTAAACACATCTTTAGTTCTCACTTTTTTCTCCCAATATCCTTTTCTCAGGTTGTACTAAAGATTAAGCAAAATAAGAAAACCAAAAAAAAAAGTCAGCCCTAAATCCTGCAAACAGACTCCAGCACAGGCAAGAGGGGACAAGACCTGCCAGGATTGTGGCACAGGGAAGCTTCAGATAACAGCAAGGAGTACCAGAAGACTCTGAAAGAAGACATGAAGCAGAGAAGAATTTATGTACTTAAATATATTCAGGGCTCTGGCACAAAAAAACCTTTAAACTGTGTTAAAATGTTTTGGAATGAACTCCTGAACACAAAGTAAACTAAGTAAATGAAAAAGCAGAGAACACCGCAAAGGGTAATCAGAGTAAAGCGTGTAACGTGCATAATGTAGAACCACACATCCTGAGAGACAGGGTAAGTGTTAAGATCAGATGAAAGGCGGAGAACTCAAGTGACTGACGATCTAATTCCAAATGGCGATTTTGTAACTGTATCGAGAGAATGGAAAGGAAATGTGTGTCAGGCTGTAGGTAAGACAGGGATAAGAGGGCTAGGGCACTTAGGAAAGCTAAATCCGTATCTTTTTAAGGAATTTCTATTATCTACAGCTAAAAGACCTAAAGATTGTAGGGATAAAAATCCGACTTTAAGTGTGGAGACAGACAATATAAGAAACAATCTGAAGGTTATCATCTGAAGAGTAGGATTACAGGGCAGCAGGGAGCCAGGAGATGGACTTGACTTTACCTTGGCGACCCAGTAATATTGCCACACTTTTCAAACTACAGAAGAAATTTTAAGTGGGGGAGAACAAAAGGTTTCAGGTATTTTAGTGCACTTTATTATGAGCCTAGTAGCAACAGCACTTAGACCTTTATCAGCTTTCAACAGCATCATAGTTCCCTAAGTGCTAACAGTATTAACGTGTACTAAAAATCACAAACATACCTGAGTCAAGGTATTTTTTTAATGATTCTTCAAGGGAAGGAACAGGCAGTGCTGGAAGAGAATCCTGGTACTGAAATGTTCGTTCCTCGGGTGATTTAGCCAATTGATTTTCCATGGTACTATCACAACAAGAAAACAGAGAGAACACTTGCACATGCCAGGTTCACTTCACTAAGTCAGCATTGAGGGACTTCCCTTTAGCCAGGACTTGATCCCAGGTCTTACACGATTAACAAACTTATCAGACACAGAAAACCAAATTTAAGGGGGGAAAAAAGTGCAGACTCCAAGGTCAAAGTTACTAGTGAAACCAGTACAGTCATCATTTATGAGTACCTACCATGTGCAAGCACTGCAGAATGTTACAGAAAACATGCATTACCTCTGAAAACTTCGTACCATCTCTGAGATGACATTCTTTGCAATTTCACATGTGAAGAAAACAAAACTCAGGTTTTGTGATTTGTCTAATACCCAGAACTCAAATCATCGGTCAAGACTATAATCTTTCCCTGCACAAAAAAAACCAATGTGGCAGGAGTGAGGGATATTACCAAAGACTTGACAAAAAGTTGGATGTGATGTGTAGAAAAGGATTAGGGTCTGAGGAGGACTCAGAAGGCCAGATGAAGATGCATGGAGGAGCTGGATAACTGCAGGGTGATGGATTACAGAACAGGCTCAGATGGAGAGAGATCTACTCAGAATGATTTCAAGTACCCCAAAGCAAATGTGAATAGTTTGCACTCCTGTATTCTCTCCAAAGACATCAAACTAACCCAAAATATGAATAAGGTATCGGAGTGCTAAATAAAAAAGGTTTCTCAAAAGGCATTTATAAATTAAATTATACATTAAAATAACTGAGAAAACAAGAATGTTAATTATTGAATAAGAATTTCTTAGCCCCATGTTTCTTTTTAACAATTCTACTCACAGTTTATAAAATTAAACAGATCAAAAACAAAGGAATGGCAGAGATGATTTTATTTTACTTATTACTATTTTACTTTTTGGTACCAGGGATCAAACTCACAATCTTGCGCCTGACAGGCAGATACTGTTATGCTGAGCTGCATCCCTGGTCAGAGATAGTTTTTAGCTAACAACATTCCTCCCTTTATTTCCTAACAGAACCCAGGGTGTTCTGGGAACCCAGTATGGTGGCACCCCACCACCAGCTCCATTTTCCCTAACCCTCCAAAGCCCAGCTGGCCCTGTGCTGTGCAGATGACCCTTTGTCATGTAGCTGGAAAAGGCTGCATGTGTTCCTCTCACTTCCTCCTCTTCCTCATGTTCCAGGTGGGTTAACTGGAACAGTACCTGAGACCCATTTACACAAGCCTTAAATTTAGGGCTGCCCCACTATTCTGGACTCCAGATATATTTAAAACGAAATTAAACATGTAGGGTACAATGGCCCATGCCTGTCATCCCAGCTACTTAGGAGGCTGAGGCAGGAGCATTGCTTGGGTCCAGGAATTGAAGGTCAGTCTAAATAACAGAAAAAAAACCAACCAACCCCCTGCAAAAAAACCACAACTCTTTATAAGCCCCAAATCCCTCCATTTTTATTTTATTCAAGCAACTATACATTCAGCTTTCTGTTATGAGAAACTTAGTCCACGCCACTAAGACACAGACAATTCAAAAATGAAGTGCAACAACCACCTGCTTGCTCCTCATCTTCTATCTAATGTCCCTGGCTGCATTCCACTGTGAATATCCAAAAACATGGCCTTGGACCTAATGGAAATGTAGATCTGGGTTCAAATGCAGACTCAGCCACTTAGCAGTCATATGGCCATAGGCAACTGACTGAATTTCCTTATCTTAGAACAGTCAAGTAACTGTCCGCATCTCAACTTATACACACATTACAAAAGTAATTCAGCTTGATTTAAATACCATATGGTAACTCTCATTTGAGGTAAAGCACGAACAAACAGAATAATACACAATGGATAAAAAGAGTCAAGGGGATCTCTTGCAAGAGGGAAGTGGTCCAAGGGAAAAGGCTGAGAGATGAGGAGGGGAAGGGGAAATAAGAATAAAGACAAGCCAGATACAGACCTAACAGCCTCAATGATATAAATACTATATGCAAAACATTAGCTAAGATTAGTATCAATATGAAAACTGGGATAGGGAATTAAGAGACTAGGGGAGGGGAGGGAGAAGAATCTAAAAAAAAAGAAACAAGCTGTAGTATGTACATGTACCCAGTCCTCCCAAGAACTGTAAATTGCATGCACTGTAAACATGTACTAATAAGAAAAGTTAAATTTTAATAAAAATCCAGCTTCGTTAAATTTTAATAAAAATCCAGCTTGGAACAACCATATAATGGCAGGCAGAATTTCTAAGACTGACCTATGATCCCTGCTCCTGTGATTTTCATCCGCAGAACAGACTTTAAAAAGGGATGTCGTCCAGCTGGACCCAGTCTTATCACTTGGGCCCTCAGGAGAAGAGATCCTTGCCTATTTCGACAGTAACCGACCAAGTCTGCCCACAAGGAGCAAGAGCTGAGCTAGGAGGATTCTCGCCCTTCACTGCCTGCGAAAGAGCCCTGACCTACAAAGGCTATTCAGCCTTGGGAGATTTCGTGCAGTCTCCGCTAAACTCACTCAGGCTTCCAATCGACAAAACTTGTGAGATAATAAATCTGTGCTGTTTTCAGTGCTGTGCTAATTTGCTGCGGTGGCGACAAGCACAGCGCATACTTATAAGCTATTCTCTGTATACCTCCATGCCACTTAATAGTCGCTAGGAAGCCGGGCGCAAGAGCACTAACGTCATGCCGCTTTACTGTTTATCAACGGGTATTAAAAACAAGAATTTTCAGATTTATTCCTAAGAGTGGTCTGGAATGCAACCACAATGGTGGTTAAGTCATGCAAACACCTCTCTAGCACAGACACTGACAGCACTGTTTTCCTGGAAGTCTAACCAGGGGGCAGGACGCCCACTCACGGAAGGAGGGGAAGACCCCGGCACCGAGGAGAGCAACGAACCGACGCCGAGGGCAGGCGGCCGCAGGCAGTGGCGTAAAGTACTGCCAGCGCCCGGAGATGAGAGCGGGCGAGAGGCTGCGGAGGAAGCGGCTTAACAAACACCCAGAATAGCTAGGAAGAGCAGCGCGAGGCCCCGACCTGCAGGGAGCCCCGCCTCCCGCTCCACCGACCACCCGCCGGCTGGGCCGAGCTCAGCGCCTCCTACCCCGGCGGCCCGGCACCCGGGTCCCGGGGAGGCAGCGCGGCGGGTCAGGGCGCGGGCCCGAGGCCGCCACGCTCCGCCGGACCCTGCGCCCCGTGCGGCCCACTGCGGGTCAGGGGAGCGAGGGCAGCCTCCGCAGCCCGCCGGTCCTCACCGGCCGCAGCTTGCTGGCCTACGTTCTGCTCAGCCGCGAAGCGCGAACTGGACAGGAAGCCTTGAGGCGCCCGCCCCGTACTTAAAGCTGCGGAGCGCGATTGGGCGGGAAGCCGTGAGGCTCCCGCCCCATACTTAAGGCCCCGGCGCGTGATTGGACGGACAGCCACAAGGGTCCCACCTCGTACTAGCGGCGCTTGGCCTGGATCCTGGGGTGCAGCCGTGAGAGGACCACCGGGTGCAGAAAGCCTCACTCGGTGCGCCTAACGGCGCGCCCCGCAAGAGTTTCGACGGAATCTTCTACGCGCCCTGGCCCCCAACTTCTCGAGCTGAGCTCCACACGCCAGAGTCCTCGCCGAGCCGGCCTGACGCTCGCCTGGAGGCCTGGAGGAGCAGGGATGGACGGACCTTCCCTAGAGCCTGTTTACAGTCAGCTCCCGGCGGAGTTTCGTCGAAGTTTTCTGAAGCCGTTCCTTCGCTCTCCCCGCCGTTTCGTTCTGTCTCTGTAGCCGCGAGTCCTCTGTCCGCGGCCCACGCCGGCTCTTGCTGGCTGCAAACGCGCGCGGAGGGCCAGGCTTACGGGGAGCTGTCTGTGAAGGGGCGGGCTGGAGCCTGCGGGGGCCCCGGTCCGCAGCCTCAGGTCGGAATTCCCAAAGGTCCAGCCTAAGAGAGTTCGATTAAGCGGTGGTGAAATTAGTCGTAGTAACTACTTGAGGTTGTAAAGAACTTTTCATCTTAGTACAGAGATTGTGTTCTGAATAGCGTTAGTATTTGCTTACAATATAAATTAAGTTCTTAAATAGTGGCGTCTAGAACTTTCGCTGTACTTCTTTTCTTTCTAGTGATTTTTGCCACCTCTTAAAAAGTGTTTGCAGGTTTAATACCTGCTACCAAATGGCGCAGACTTTAGGGTCACTTGGCGCCACTCTTTCTCCTAATCTTGATATTTATAAATGGAGATGCAGTATTTCTAAAGACTGAAGAAAATGAGTTGAAACGTTGATTTGAGTGTGTAGGGGGAAAAGTAATGTTTTAAAAATGTACTGGTAAGCAAATGTACCAATAATCATACAGAAGAGCAGATATCTTAAAATGATTTGTGTTTTTCAAAATGTGTGATATATATTATAGTGGCAGGTTCCAAATTTATGTTGCACTCAGGTTAAATTTGAACTAGTTTGCATTTCTTAGAGTGGGTTGGGGGACCTTGGTTGTTGAAAGTGTTTCATGCATTTAAAATGTATCTGGGCCAAGATTAGTATTGACTAAGTCAAAATATTTTCCTGGAAGAAAACTCATGATGACTAGAACTAGTTTAAGTTGCCATAAAAATCTGTCATCTTTGTTTTTGTGTAACTCCTTCCTGATATCACAAACTGAAAGGAGCTTTATGTTCCCAAAGATAGCTTACAGCCAATTCTTGAGACTCTATTGAGTAACCACATGTAGCAAGTAGCCTTAATCTTTGAGATACATCTCCAACCTAGATTTATCCTGATGTATAAAATGAACATGTTGAAATAATTATGTGCTCTTTCTTATTTTTAACGGGAGGTGGACAGTAGAGCGTCATTTTGGAAAGCAGCCAACCACAGACTAAAGTATGCTGGATGGAAAGAGATAAACTCAGTATTAAAAATTAACTTCATGGGGCTGGGAATTTAGCTCAACGGCATAAGCACCTGCCTTGCAAGCAGGCAGTCGTGAGTTTGATCCCTGGTACCAATAAAAACGAAAAAGACAAAAAAAAAAAAAAAATTAACTTCACTATCTCTGGGGCCCCCAGAAAATTTTAATTCCACTACCAGGAGCAGATGAACAGCAATTAACGCAAAGAGACTCAGCATTAATGATGGCTCTAAATTGCCATTGATGATGTTTATTGTAATGACAGTTCACCCCCAAAATTTTCAAGGAAAAGTTAAGAAACATAATGTTTTTTCATCTCTGAAAAATTGTTAAACAGAACATAACATTTAAAAAAGTTTAATAGGTTTATTGAGATATAATTTACATACCAAAAAGTTCACCCTTTTTAAAATGTAGTATAAGCTGCACATACTGGCACATGCCTGTAACCTCAGCACTCAGGAGACTGAGGCAGGAGGACTGTTTCAAGTTTGGGACTAGCCTCAGCTACAAAGTGAGCTCAAGGCCAGCTGAACTGCATAGCGAGACCCTGTCTCAAAAAGATAAAAAAAATGAATTTTTAAAATGTATAAATATAATTTGTAGTACAGTTTAACAATTTAGTATGTAGTATAAGTCGTTTTTATTAGATTCATAACTATGCAATCACTATGATCTAATTTAGACCACTTTGCCATTCCCAAAAGAAACATACCTATTAGCAGTCCCTTTGTCAAATATCAATGTTCTATATTGATACTTTTATATATTTATTGTTTATTTCTGAACTTTGAGTTTTATTTTCCTTCATGTCTCTCCAGACCAGCACCACGCTGTCTTGATAATTGCAGGTTTTTAGTTTTGAGCCTTCCAGATTTGTTTTTCTTTTCCAAAATTGTTTTCATTATTGTGCATCCCTTGCTTTTCTAGGGACATATCATCTTACATCATAACTATAGACACAAGGTTTATTTTCTACTTAGTGCATAAATACTGGCTTTTAATGTACATTATGCTGTATGAAAGCAATCTAATTTACTTAGTGAACTGGAAATATCAGTGCTCTTTTTTTATTTCCCATGTCTCCCAGCAGTATCTTCATTTACACTGTTATTGTGAGACTTAAAAACATGTCCAAAAGTGTAAAGTTCAATGTGCACATTAATAGCTCTAGGTTTATAATCTACATATTGTATGATGTGCCTTATAATGGTATTCAAGGACTTTTTCAGTATAATATGTAGTTATCCAAGAAAATAAAGGAAATTATACCCTCAAAAGGAAACTAGTTTTATTCAGTTTATTTTTTTTTATTAGTACCAGGGATCAAACTCACGACTGCCTGCTTGTAAGGCAGGCACCTGTGCCGCTGAGCTAAATTCCCAGCCCCACTCAGTTTATTTTAAATTACCATTATATATCCCCCACCGTGACCATTAATTGAAGTATAGTACAAACCCTTCTGTTTGCAAACAATTCCTTTCACAAGAAGCATTAAGCAAAATCATGCTTCCATTCATAATTTCCGAATCTGGCCACAAACACAAATGCAGACAATCTTCCCCAAAATCATAAAACAAATTAAGTTCATAAACCAAATTACCACCACATATCAACTTCAGTGGATTAAGAGATGCCTAGCAGATTAATGAACACAGGTCTGGGTGTGCTTGGAGGTGTTTCCAAAGGTGATTGGCAGGTAGGCTAGCAAACTGAGTGGGGGAATTCCATCTTGAGTATGGGTGTCACCAACCAATAGGCTTGCAGCATGAATGGAATCAAAGGGAAGAAGGAGGTTGGCCTGGTGAAAAAACTTCATCTTGTTTGTGCGGGTGTGACTTTTTCTGCTGTGGCCTGTGGACATCTGACTCTGCCCTGTTCAGCTTAACAACACAGACTTACACCAGGGACTCTCCAGGGAGCTTCTAGGCCTTTGGGGCTGCATCCTTGATCCCTCTTGGACTGAGCAGCTCTGCATCCTCAGTCTCTCCAATGCACAGAAGGCCACTATAGACACTCCCATCTCTGATCCCGTGAACCCTCTGAATAAATCCATTTGCATAACTTTAGGTGCAATTGATTGTATTCCAGAGTACCCCATTTCATCCCTGCACCCCAGAAAGAGGGTTATGGTCAGTCCTCTAATAAAGCATCAGTGAGGCCAAATCAACAGGCTATATGTTCATAGGCAGATATGATCATGAGTGCAAGTTTGAAAATGATCCCAGTAAATGATTCCAGCTGATCTTCCTTGCCAATGTTTGCACCCGCCTTTTGTTGTTTTACTAAATCAGCATCTCAACCGATTGTTGTACAGGCTGCACTCAAACTTACAACCTCACAAGATTCTTCCTCAGCTTCCCTGAAGCCAGGACCACATCTAGGCATCTACTCATAATCCTACCTTGAACCTACCTTTTAAAATGTTTAGTAATATTTTTCAATTTTTATGTGTGCTTAAAATTGTTGTAGCACTAAAACATTTCCAGTTTATTAATCAGCTTTCATGAAAACGTTAATTTTAAGAATGACTTACAATTTGTTGCTTTTCTAGTGGAGCCAGTTGGTGTGGGGGTGTCAGGGACTAAACTCAGGGCCTCCTGCACCTTAAGCAAATTCTACCATTGAGCTACATTTTCAGCCAGTGAATTTTTTTCTTATTTTTCCACTATATTTTACTCCGTGCCTCATAATTTCATATATGCCTAATATATTTTGCCTATTAAAGTGCATATACATTTTCTTTGAAGTATACTGAGGCTGCTGCATTATTTAGTATATCTGGGTATTTAATCATCACTTTGCTTTTTGTTCCGTCCTTACATTGTCAGAAATGATGTCATAAGCCAAAGTAACTCCTTCATGGCTTTATACAGAAGATACCATGTTTGTCTTGCTTCATTTTCTGTTAACTGAATACTGCAGACTGAATGGTTTATAAAGAAAATAAATTTATTATAAATTTATTACAATTCTGGAGCCTGGGAAGTCCAAAGATGAGGAGCTAGTTCAGGTGAGAGGCTCCTTGCTGGTAGGGATACAGCAGTCCCAACACAGAGCCCAGCATCACAAGGGAGGCAGAGCAAACTGGCTGGAAAGAGCTGCCTCTGACAGTCACTCACTTGATGAGCTGCCATCCCTTTGA